AGCTGGTTTGGCACCCAACAAGCATGTTTCTTCCAGCAAATCAAGCACATATTTTCTCTGGCACAGGTTAATACCATACTTGGATCTTGCTACCTCTATCCCCAAGAAGTATTTCAGCTTACCAAGATCCTTTGTCTAAAAGTGATCCTGCAAATAAGTCTTCAGCCTATCAATACCCATGTTATCATTTCCAATAATAACAATATCATCTACATACACCACCAACAGTATTTTCCCTCCCGGAGAGTCATGACTAAATACAGAATGGTCAAYTTTGCAYTGTTTCATDCCWAMCTTCTTTACCACCTCACTGAACCTACCAAACCATGCTCGAGGAGACTGTTTAAGCCCATATATAGCCTTCCTTAGTCTGCACACCTTACCATCCTCCCCCTGAGCAACAAACCCTGGAGGTTGCTCCATGTAAACCTCCTTGAGTAAGTTACCATGCAAAAAGGTATTCTTGATATCAAGCTGATATAGTGACCACTCATACATGGCTGCAAGAGAGATCACAGCACGAACTGACCCTATCTTAGCAACCGGTGAGAAGGTCTCTGTGTAGTCAATACCATAGGTTTGGGAGTACCCTTTTGCAACCAATCGCGCTTTCAGGCGTTCAACACTACCATCAAGCAGATACTTAACCGTATAAACCCATTTACAACCAACAGCTTGCTTCCCAGGAGGAAGAGCAGTGAGGTCCCAAGTATGATTATGATGAAGGGCAGAGAGTTCTTCTTCCATGGCTCAGCACCACCCTGGAGAGGCAAGGGCTTCCTGGACATCCTTAGGGACAACAACTGATGATAACAAGGTGACAAACTGGTGATGGAAAGCGGAAAGGTGAGTAAGTGAAACATAATTAAAAATAGGATGAAGGGTGCAAGTGCGTTTACCTTTCCGCAAAGCAATGGGAAGGTCAAGCTCAGATGCTAAGTGCGAGTCTGGTGCCAGATCCGTCGACGGAGATGTAGCCGGAGGAGTAGTAGCTGGTACGCGTGGGCGATGTGTATACACATGACGGATAGGTGGGCGTTCAACAGGTGGTGGCACCGGAGGCAATGGTTTGGTCACGGCTGGAACCAAGGGAAGAGGGTCAACAATGGAAAGTGGAAGAGAAGGAGGTGATGAGGAGGAAGAAGCATCACCGGACCCCAAAAAGAACAGAGTAGACTCAAAGAAGGTGACATCAGCACACACAAAGGACCGTCGAGAACTAGGATGGTAACACCTCTCGATACAGCAAAGGCAGATCTATCTGAGATATTAGAGTTCTCAGTAGATCCGATAGAAATCCTCCGGAGCCGAGCAAACACCTCTTCCAAGGAGGGAAGAGTTGATCCTCCTAATATCTGAGCCCGTACTGGTTCATATTCAGACTTCAATCCCACCAAAAATCTAGTCACATCAAGCTGTTCTCTCTGTTGCTGCTGAATCTTGACATCAGAAGTGAGAGGGCGATAAACATTCAACTCATTATGTATGTTTCTCATGTTGGCATAGTACTCCTCAAGACTCTGATTGCCCTGTTGCAGGTTAAAGTACTCTTGATACAGCTGATACACTCTGGTTGTATTGTCCTGACYCGAATACAATTTCTTCGCATGGTCCCACACATCTTTGGCAGTGTCAAGAAACATGAAGTT